ACCTTGGATCGACTAAGGTTAAAACTGATAAAATAATATTTTTCTGTGGCGATAAGTTCAAGTGTTTTAGCCGATATCATATAAATTAGTAATGAAAGTTTTTTCTAAACCTGAAATGCATATAATGGCGAGGGTTTAATGTAAATAATCGGTATCGGATACCGAAAAGGAAGTATAGGGTACCGAAATCTTTTTTAAGTATTGGGTACCGAGTATTGGGGACAATTCAGCACATCACTAGTCGCCCTCATTCTCGCCGCTCTCAGTTGTCAACTCTACGATGACGTCACGCTAAAATTACTCTCACGAATTCTGCTGCAATCGGCGCAATCTTGTATTCTATCATTCTTGGGACCAAACTTGGTAAAAAAAAATAACTAAGTTTGTTTACTGGATATACTGAGATATCCAGTAAACAAACTTATGCTTGAAACACAATACCCGGCGAACGGCGAAGTTCGCCGAATTGGGCGATGCCGTCGTTCACCGTTCGCCCTGCTATTTCGTCTACTTTAACAGAATTAGAGCGGTAGCGAAATTAGTTGACCATATTTTGAAAAACTAAACCATATTTAGAAATGATGAAATGATAACAAATATAAATGTAAGGCAAGGGGGAATTATTATAAATTATTTTATTTTAAGCCAGATTTAACGAATCGATCACTGTATTTTTCAACCATCAAATATAATTCGTGTTAAATGTTGTTTTCTTCTAAATATTTGAAAGTAAAAAAAACATATGGCCATATTTGGCATGTATTGCCGCCATCGCCCAGCAGAGCGATAGAAATAAATCTATCGCCACGAAACGCCGCCGAATGAACTTCGCATTTCGCTTTGGCTGTGTTCATTTTCATATGCCGGCGGGTGTTCTAAATTTTGACAGCGGTAATTTCGCTGTGGTGAGTTCGCCGTTCGCCGGCATTGTGTTTCCACGGTTAGCTGTTTTTTTCCACCAAATTTGGTCCCCATAAAGGACTAGTGTTGCAAGCAACGCTTTTTCGGCAATTAGGGTGTTGTGCAGCTATTTAATGTGGTGAAAATTATTTAAGCACTGGAGAGATTTATTCACATGGAATTGGAGATAGGGCTGTGAATCTGCGAACATATCTATTCAGCAGATGAATATACTTTTTAACTTTTTTCCCGAAAATTTACATACAGGCTATAATGCGAGTAACATTCAAATATCGCGCTTGGATGAAAAATTGCCGGAAGCGTCATTTTGACAATTTGTAGTTATAGATACAGTTATATATTTTAAAGTAAGATATTTCGATTTTTTGTTAACTGGTTTTTGGATATCTTCTTTAGTTTCCGAGTAATTGACTAAAATGCTTTGGGCTATTTGGGACAAATTGCGTTAGTATTGCTGTCGTACTAAACTAATCAAGATATTTCAAATAGAGTTATCTGTTCTTCTTTAGTTTCCGACATATTCAGCCTTATCATGAGTTTCGTTTCTAGAACCGGGTCACTTTTTTACTTTTCGTTTGCGTTTATTCACTACAGGTGGATGAAAAAATTGTTGGCGAAATTTTGTTCGGGCGAAACTCCCGATTAGGCTGATTAGTAAGACTGCTTTTACACAGTTCAAGTATTGAATTAAATTCTACTCGCATGTGGAAGAGAGGGGTGAGAAGAAAAGGGACGAGTACACATGCGTCTGTACCGTCAAGTCGTTTCAACTTTCTTGCTTTGCTTTTGGCATTTTCGTTGCTTACCATTTAAAGCACCAAACACTTGAATTCAACAGAATTGAAACGTGTAAAAGGAAATAGAAAAGACAAAAGAGAATGAGCATGAATTGCTTTCAAGTACTTGAATCATGTAAATCGGGTGTAAAAAGTATCGGTAATTTATAAAAAATTGTTATCACATTTTGGCGTATATAATTAAAACTGTTTGAAAATTTTTTGACAAATGTCGTATACGACAAAATTTTATTAAACTCATAAATGGTTGACACTAAACTAAAAAAATAAGATAATTTAAGAATCTCGTGAACTAGTACATAGCATTCTCCGACACTTTGGAGAAAATCTGTAATCGTGCTTCTGAGAAACTGCATTCCAAACTTCAATCGTGAGTGACCGAAAGTAACTTGTAACAATCTTTTATCCAGGCGACGATATAACATTTAGTTAAAACATGCATCTAAATAAATTATAATTGTCATTATTTTCGTAGTTCGAGTATATGCCAGACGAGTAACAGGTATATACACACAAGTATACCTAAATTAGCGCGTTAAGCTTGTATTTTATCTCTCTCTAACGCATTAGTTCTATATACGTCAGGACCAACGCCCGACAAAGTTATGTCTGTATTTAATAATGGCTCTATGACAAAATATTCAAGAAATGTATTCGTAAATTTTTATTTAATTCATTTCGTACATTAATATTGATCAGATTTTTTTTAATAAGTACCAGAAATAAATATTTAGTAAAAAACTATTTCACTTAAGCTTAACTAACTTTTAGTTGCTCGGAGCTAGTTTTGGAACGCATCATGAAATATTTTCATTGACGGTAAATGCAATCCTGCGCGCATCATTAATGAGCTGAAAAACCGAAACAAATAATTAAATTTGTGGATTGGAGCCTTTTGAAATGGCCTTTAGAAACGGCAATGGATTTTCGACANCATGCATCTAAATAAATTATAACTGTCATTATTTTCGTAGTTCGAGTATATGCCAGACGAGTAACAGGTATATACACACAAGTATACCTAAATTAGCGCGTTAAGCTTGTATTTTATCTCTCTCTAACGCATTAGTTCTATATACGTCAGGACCAACGCCCGACAAAGTTATGTCTGTATTTAATAATGGCTCTATGACAAAATATTCAAGAAATGTATTCGTAAATTTTTATTTAATTCATTTCGTACATTAATATTGATCAGATTTTTTTTAATAAGTACCAGAAATAAATATTTAGTAAAAAACTATTTCACTTAAGCTTAACTAACTTTTAGTTGCTCGGAGCTAGTTTTGGAACGCATCATGAAATATTTTCATTGACGGTAAATGCAATCCTGCGCGCATCATTAATGAGCTGAAAAACCGAAACAAATAATTAAATTTGTGGATTGGAGCCTTTTGAAATGGCCTTTAGAAACGGCAATGGATTTTCGACATTATTCAAGTAATTGCGAATATAAGCTGCTTTCCATTTGGTGTATTTGCGGTTTATACCTTCAGAAAGTTAAAAAAAAACATTTTCTATTTTTTTTTTATTATATATTTTTGAAATAAAGACTCCACCTTGTACAGCAAAAAATTGCTTTAAACCATCTTTCAACGTAGTGATTCTCCTTCTTCCATCAGCCACCGGTTGGTGTTGAGCTTGAATGGCCAGTGGAAGTTGGAGGCTTTCTTGAAGTGGGATCCAACAGTGAATATTTCGTGCGCCAAATAATCAACGCACTGAATATCATGCTCTACGCAATTTGCGTTCGATCACAAAGTTGTCAGAGATAAGGACACGTTGATGGTTGTGCTTGACAATTGCACGTTTGTAGATCAATTCACGAACTGATTTAAGATTTGGATAACCCCATATGATATAGGGTTCGGCAATGAGTAGCGTATTAATGGTTCAATTTGATGAACAAACCGTGTTTAATGTGGCGAAAACGGAACAGTAAAACTTTACGCACTTTTGGTGCAACTTTGTTGATACCGCGGATGCAGACCACAAAAGCCCGTTTTCTTTGCCAGGCGGCGAAACTTATTCTCAAGGCGTCCATCACGGATATTTTGCTTGATATTTCTCAGAATGCACCAAGCTTTCATGTTTGCCGAGTGCAATCACAGCAGAGCGCTTTAGTTTACGGAGATCCGACCAGGCTTTCCGACCGAAGCGGCAAGACTCGCTGACGTCCGTGACCGAACCAGGCGAGCCAATCCCGAAGATCCTAGCATCAAGGATCTTAACGCTGAGATCAAGCGCCTCGTAAACAACCACAAGCNAGGGACAGCAGGCAGCTTCCTGGAAGGTTGTTTGCCCTTTGCTTCGGGTTTCTTACCGGCCGTGGTGGTAGTCATCTTAACTCGTAACTTAGCACGTTGAGAAGGCGAAAAAAAGTCCGCCAAATGTTTGGAGCACATCTTAAATAACGCCACTCGATTTATAACATTTCCATTAAACGCAATTTCATTTAATTAAATACCTTGTTAATACATAGATATGCTGCAACCAGGCACTTACTTTCACAAATTCCATCCTGCTTATCGGCATAATTTTCCAAATATGCCTGCTACTTCATTACTAATAACTCCATTTTCAAACTGGGCCTTCTTCGTTGCCTCAACATATCCTAAAAGACATAAATTTACATTAAACAATAGAAATCGCAAAAATTAGNATAAAATACTCACTGTGTTTTGCTTTGTTGTCAAATTTCTGAGAAATGTGAATTCACCACGATGCGATAGTGCGCTTTTACACAGTTCAAGTATTGAATTCAATTCTGCTCGGTCATGGTAGAGAGGGGGTGAGAAGAAAAGGGACGAGTACACATGCGTCTGTACCGTCAAGTCGTTTCAACTTTCTTGCTTTGCTTTTGGCATTTTCGTTGCTTCCCATTTAAAGAANATTAAACGCAATTTCATTTAATTAAATACCATTTTAATACATAGATATGCTGCAACCAGGCACTTACTTTCACAAATTCCATCCTGCTTATCGGCATAATTCCAAATATGCCGGCTACTTCATTACTAATAACTCCATTTTCAAACTGCGCCTTCTTCGTTGCCTCAACATATCCTAAAAGACATAAATTTACATTAAACAATAAAAATCGCAAAAATTAGCAAATAAAATACTCACTGTGTTTTGCTTTGTTGTCAAATTTCTGAGAAATGTGAATTCACCACGATGCGATAGTGCGCTTTTACACAGTTCAAGTATTGAATTCAATTCTGCTCGGTCATGGTAGAGAGGGGGTGAGAAGAAAAGGGACGAGTACACATGCGTCTGTACCGTCAAGTCGTTTCAACTTTCTTGCTTTGCTTTTGGCATTTTCGTTGCTTCCCATTTAAAGAACCAAGGCGCATCAATTACAGGTGATAGCGATAGAAGCTATGCTTCTTCTTATGAGCACGCTTGTGTCAAATTATCGTCTGTTTTGCTTTATTTACATATCCGCGTACACATACACATATACGTATATATATACCTTGCAAACAAATGCTCCCGAAATCTTTAAGAGTGTCGGAAATTTGTTACGATTCTTTTAGAAATCTGTAAAGAAAAACATATGAAGCGGTTGACAAGAACTAGTAAAGAAATTTCTGTATGATTTCTTAAAGAAAATTCTTAAAAAAATTGTGAAACCTTTCAGAGTTCTATGAAATCCTGGTATGCAGGGTATGCATATACACACGAATATGAATAGATAAAGAAGATGTTGATGACACAAGGAGTTCATACCAACGGTAAATGTTGTTTTTGTACGATTGCTACAACCTGTAGTTGTTGAATCATGTTAAAGAACCAAAGACTTGAATTCAACAGAATTGAAACGTGTAAAAGCAAATAAAAAACACAAAAGAGAATGAGCAAGAATTGCTTTCAAGTACTTGAATCATGTAAATCAGGTGATACAGAAAGAACAAGGACCAGGGATGTAATTTTAAGTAAATCTATTATTGGTAGCTGTTTATCTCATCTGCTACGAAACTGCTGGCAACTGTGGAACCCAACAATTACTTCTTAATAATTTGACAGCTGTGGTTTGTAGCTCGTCGTTTTCATTGTGTTCGGGCTATTAGAAACGGCTTGATGAATATGCTGCCAAATGAACAGCTGATACATGTAAACAAATGAAATTGCAACAAATAGAGATAGTTGCGCCGATACTATTTAGAATTCAACGCTGAGCGGCCGCCGTGTTGAAAAAATCGTTCAATGTTACAATGAATTAAACAGTGTTAAATTATATAGCAAACATTTTAAAAACATATATTTAGAAACGTAGTATTATTATTAAATATTTTTAAATACGCGGTTGCCGTGCTGGGTGATCAGTTTAGTTGGTTCATGGCATTTCTTTTAAAAGCGCCATTTTTTATTTTAAGTGTGGGAATAGCAGAGGTTACATTGCCGTCTTTAGAGCGTGTCAGACCGGGCAATGCACTATATTTCAAAAGACTGTCACATTGAGAAATTTCAGATAGCAGTTGCATGAGCAGTGTCACCTTGCAAACAAATTTATAAAAGCAAGATAACGAAAAATAAATGGATTTAGAAAAACATAATTATTATTGGCTGCATTCCTTTATTCATTCTGAACGTTTGGAATAAAATTTTTTGTTTACTTATTCTTTAGAACGTTCCTGATGATATGTCAACGTATATTTCAAACGCATTCTGTTTATTCCGGCTGTGAAATGGGATTATCCGGAATGTATAAAGAAACGCAGCCATTATGAAATGGGTCGATATTATCGATAGTCACCCTTAAGACTATTGTAAAACATCGATGGACTTGACTATCGATAGTTTGAAAGCTCTAATATCCAACATGATATAGTGATGGCACGATTAATCGAATACCAGATTATATTCGGTTATTTTCATTCGGTTAACTATTTAATTGGATCGAAATTTTTCTTTCGATTACCATCGAAACCATCAAAAATTGACTACTCTCTCCTAATAATGTATGTATCAAAATAAGTTGGGATGTTTTTTACACTCTCGTATTCTGCAAATTTTTTAAATCACAACACAGGTATGCACATATTTTCATTGTATTTTCCGAATTCGGTGTTGCGCATTTTCTTCTTTTTTATATGGAAGAAAATAAGCAACTCCATTACCAAACAGAAAGATTTAATTTATTTATTTAACGTTAATTAAAAATACAGAGATTAAATATTTAATAATTTAAAACATTAATTAGAAAAAAAGAAAAAAAATAAACATGAATAAACATAATTTAGCTTCCAATAGTCAATAACCACCTTTTCAAGATATTTTAATTAGAGAGTATAAGTTTCTTGAAGCTGCCTCTAGACAGTGACTCCCGAGCGACTGAGGAAGGGAGTTCCAAAGTCTAACAGCGTTAACGAAAAGCAGTCGGGAAGAGCATAAGTAGTTGAACTTGGGTAAAATTAGGGTTAAAGAGCGAGAGCATTTAGAAAATATCAGTTTTTCATATAGGTATTCCGGTTTCCCATGAGTAATTAGCTTAAAGATAAAGATGCAGTTCCTGGCATTTAAGAAATTTGGTAAGTCGCAGCCAAGTATCGAGTTTCTCAACAAAAAAGATGGTCACACTGCCAAAAATTAGTCGTAATCGGGGTGTCCAGATTGTTTTTAAAAAAAGCGCAATTTCTGAAAAAAAACGCCAATTTTTTTCAATTCATGAAATCGATTTAACAAATCTTTTATTTAAAAAATGAGATCTTGTTATAATATAAAGTTTTTAAAGCCAAAAACGAATAAAATACCTTCAGAGGGTAATAATAAAAAACACAAATCACTTACATATATAATAGTGATCTACAAACAACTTTCTTTAAAAATACGCATACTATTTGTTTCAACACTGCGCAATTATTACATTTTTATAACTCATATTAATTGATTAATCGCACAATCAGCTTTTAAGAGCTCGGCGCTAAAAATTAAATAAAAACCTATAATAAGGCGAGATAAGCTGTTTCCACAATTTCTTCAAAATCACCTATAGTGTCTGAATGATTAACATTTCTGTTCTTGTCATATATTGAGCTATTCAACCTTGATAATATACTCTTTGATGTTGGAAACGTTTTGCAGCAGAAACTATTAGCCTTCATATAACACTTTATTCGATCTATTGAATTAAGGCTTTCCAACCTCATCCTATTTCGAATATTATTTTTTGTTGAATTCGTTACGGAAAAAAACGCGCTCAACAAAGCATGTGAGCACGGCAAGGATAATAATATGAATTTAATTATATTTCCAAACATTTTATTGCCTGCTGCGGTTTTCACTCCGTAAACAATTATCCAAAATTCTTCAGAGTCGGATGGAATGGTTCTGAGAAAACTTATTCCATGGGAAAGTTAAAAGATTTAAATATTCAGTTTCCGCTGCTTTTCTTTCCTTCAAAGTCAAATAGTGAATTGGCAGGTCCCTGAAGCTCGCCCTCTTGTGATTCACACAATCTTTTGGTGACACAATCAAAGCTTTTTTAGAGTATTTAGTTGACCAGGGAACCGTTTCAAAAGTTCTTCGATTAGGGTGATTAAACATTTGTGACAGTATTTTAATATGCTTCTTAAGTTAAGTTTATCACGCAGTTCATTAGCCCATTCTGTAAAATTATCGTGGAAAACTAAGTTTTGTATATTTTTATAATTGGAAAAAATTTATTTGAAGGGAACAAATCGCCAAAAATTGCCAATGGCGATTTCGTAAATTTTTACGCGCAAATATCCAAAAAAAAAAGGTCAAATTGGCGCGAAATCGCCAAATCTGGTCGTAAGTGACAGATACTTCAGTCTTGGAATTTTCTATAAAAAATTTAATAATTTAAAAAGTTTAATTTAAATTTAACTTTAAAACTGCATACTGAAAATCTTTTTAAAAGTATAACGGAACCAAATCGCTGTGCGGATTGCGTCGGTCGGAGCGATGCCGTTGGGTGATATGCGCAGCAATATTTCGCCTAGTAAAACAGAACAGAATCGAAATTCGCATCAATTGAATGATAAATAAAAAACGTGAAAATACAAAAGCGAAAACATGAATCACCAAATTTTGCCATTCTGATCTTCCTGATAATTATCTGATAGAAAAATAGGAAACATGTTTATTGCCTGATAAAAATTTTATCAGAGGCAATATTTGTGCGTGGGCATTTTTTATCTTGATAAAAGCATTTATAAGATGGCAATTTTTGGCGGATTTCATCATTTAAAAAATTTAAAAAATATGCTATTTCACACCCAAGCAAATAATAACACATATTTTAATAGAAAACAGTTCAATTTTTGCTTTTATATTGAAATATCGATAATGTTGTCTCCACGAAGCTATCGCGCAAATGAAAATGTAGCTGTCAAAGTACAAAATTGCTGGCAATATTTATCAAGATAAAAGCTCTGATAATTATTGCTTGCCAAGAGCAATATGTGGTCTCATTGGGCAAAATTTTGCTTGATAACATTATCAAGATAAAAACTTTTGCCTGTAGACCCACCAAGTAATACAGCGTTTTTGCTGCATTTAAAATGCAACATTTAGCACTTTCGAACATATGTTTTCAAGAGCGTTCATGCTATCGCATTTAGCAAATGTACATTTACGCGAGTTCGAAATTGTATGCTTTTGACAAACAGCCGACGCTTCCAGTCACTTATTCAGATCCCTATCTATTACGATCAGTTCTCACGCAGAAGATAAAGTGCAAAAAAGCTACTGAAACTAAAAAATTAATTTTAAACCAAAAATTCCATAGAAAACATGAATTGTTTTAACCGAACATTTGTTTGTATATATATTCATTTGTCGGTGCTGTCAATTAAAATCCCTCACTTAATTAGGAAACAAAACAAACAGGGTTGATCACAAATTGATCCAGATTTCTATCAGCATCACATCGATGTTTAATTTGCGTAACTTTTGTTAATTCAAATAATGGAAAATAATAAATGAAATCTCGATCGGCGATCACTGAACGCAGCTAGCCGCTGTATACGCGAAAAAGCAATGTTGCCACTTTCTCTCATTAAACCATGTTCGAATCGTGGAAATTTTGGAAGATCACAAGGTTGCTTATAGCATTTAGATTCTTAATGCAAAAATGGAGTTGCATTTAGGTGACGAATTTTGTATGGATAAATGTACATTTAGAGTAGCATTTAGACCTAAATGAGCTTTTACGCATAAGCAAAAACAGCCCATAACACTGGCTACACACGAAGAACATATCCGCGCACATGTGCGCCAACATGCTCGCTGTCGTTTGCTACAGACGGTGAGCGGCTCACAAGTGATTTTGTACTCAAAGCGTAAACATGGAAAGGAAAGACGCGGATGATGCAATTAAAGTACTTATGACTTAGGTTTTTTTATCTATGTGTTACTTAAATTTATTTATATTTTACTTGTATGTATGTACATACAAATACATATAGTAATTTAGCCTCATTTATCAAAAATTCAATTAACGCACATGGCTTGGATGCATTTATCCGCTATGTGCACACTGCAAGCATCAACACAAAACGAGGTTGTTGTTTTGGTTTCCAATGCGATGATCGCAAACCACGCTACAAACGACGAGCATGCTCGCTGAAAATCAAATTTTTTTGATTTTTTGCGAGCATGCTCGTGAACTGCCCTACAAACGATGAACATGCACCGTTATGCAGAAATTTTGTTTTGCAAACTGCGTGCAATTGTTGTTGCAGTAAACTCGGAGAGAGCGAGTTTAGCGACTCTCACTGCAAACTAAAGTTGCGTTCCTTATCTCCCAGAAATAGTCAGAAAAAGTCCGAAGTAGTCAGATTTAGTCCAAAAAGCGTTCCTTAACTCGAAAATGACAGCAAAAATGAGAGAGCAACACTTAGTGAGAGTGACTCTCTTCAGTCCGAAGTAGTCAGATTTAGTCAGAAGATTTTTTTCTGGCAAAATCCTGAAAAGTTTCAAACTCAACTGAATTTAAATTAACGGAAATTAAAGAATACGCAAAAAGTGAGAATAATCTAAAAAGTAAAAAAAGTGAGTTAAAATTTGAAGGAGGCAAAAAATAATTGATATAGTAAGTGTTTATTGTGCTTGTGCTTGTGTGAATGTGTTTTCTACACACATTTCCATTCTTATTTGACGTTAGTTTTGTTGTTGCAATTCTTTTTACTCAAAATTTGGTTTTTTGCGTTCCTTTACTTTTCCTGTTATTCTCTTTAAGTGAGCGCATTTTGCTTACGCTCTGGCATTTTTATACTTTTCAAATGTTATGGGTTACTGTGCACCGCAATATAAATACTTTATTCTTCGGCATATAGCGCATCCGGTAGCGTCCCATAAATTTCACCATCAAATAATTTTTTTAGAGCGTACGGCAACACCAAAACTACATGGAAGGTCTGCCATATTGCGATAGCTGTGTTCCTTTTGGACAGTGTCGCTGATTGTCACTAGTTCCAGCAGGTTTTTTCGTCTTTTTTTTTCTGTTAATAAACGCTTTCCCGCGGAGTCTGGAGATAGTTTGTGACAGTATACAGTAAACCAGCCATTGACAATATGCTTATTTGAAAATTAATACATGAAATATTGTGCATGTATAGGATTATTTTGTCATTAACCCATAGGCAATGACTGGTGCACAGGTACCCCCAAATGTTTGTTGATATATTTGAAATGTAAATTTTAACGGGGAAATTCGTAAAAAAAAAATAATAAAACAAAAATATTGTTGATTACTACATGGGAGGTGGTCGTGGTTATTAACAGATTTCGCCAAAATTTAATACTAACCTAAATTATACCAAAGGCAACTTCGGCACCGACTTTCGTTAAAATATCTAAATTTTGTTCGAGTTAGCGTGTTTGCAAACAGACACGACTGAACCAATTCATTCACCAATTCGTCATTCTGAATATTTTGATAAATATGTATGTAAGACTATGTGTATATACTTTTTATACCGTTGAAAAACGGTCTTGCTTATCTGCATAAACCTTTCCTGCATTAGTTCGACGGTCGATATATAACTTTAAGTACATGTTTCATAAAAACTTTATAGGTCTCCACTATAAGAGTGGTACATTTGAAAATTAGAGAGTTCTACGTTTAAGCTAAGTAATACTTGTTTTACCCCCTAATTTATGGGTCCATTTTCCAAAATCAGCCCACCATTATTCACTCAAAGTTGTATTTTGAACCAGATATGACTTATATAGGAACTGCATCCGGTTACAATCGCTTACGCTGCAAGCCTGACTTGCTAAGAATTTTGTTTTTCTCGTTGTTTTATTTTATGTGACCNTGGGTCCATTTTCCAAAATCAGCCCACCATTATTCACTCAAAGTTGTATTTTGAACCAGATATGACTTATATAGGAACTGCATCCGGTTACAATCGCTTACGCTGCAAGCCTGACTTGCTAAGAATTTTGTTTTTCTCGTTGTTTTATTTTATGTGACCTGAAAATATTTTCCACTATAAGAAAATATTGAAATTGGATTTCATTTGGGTTAAAGAAAACGACAAATGTGAAAAAATATCAACCA